GTTCATCGCCTGGTGCTGTTGTGGCTCCCGCTGCCCCTCATTCGTTTGGCTTTAAAAGCGTCTTGTCTGAGCGCACATCGGCTTAGAGTGTTAACGTCATCTCTCCCGCTCGCAAAGTTGATTCTGGCGGGATTGCTAGTTCTAGTGGCTCTAAAACTGTACGTCATGTTGACGGCCTCATGGACACAAATACTGTCGCAGGTTGCACTGCCAATTTACTTGCGGGTACTACTACCACCACGAAACCAACAACACCGTGCACTGCTAATGTTTCTGTTGCTGCTAATTCATATTTACTCGCTCCTGTAATTGTGAAAAATATTTCTTCTGCTGGTTTCCCACCTGTTTCACAACATATACCAACTGGTGGTGTTAGTGCTGAATCTGATGCTGTTAATGCTACGGCCGCGGAAGTGCCTAATCCTCCTTTTCCTACCCGCAGCCCTGTTTGGCTTACTGCTGAGAGTAAAAGGACAAATCACATCCAAAAGCGAACTCGCGTGGTGGGATCAAATGATTGTAGTGATCTTGGAGTGGCTGCCCGCTTTAAGTGGTTGCACCTTTCGTCTTTCGTGTCAACCGTCTCCTGTGACAATATTGTTGATTATGTGGTGAGACACGCTGGCATTGATAAGCGGCACTTAACCTGCTACAGGTTAGTCAAAAAAGAGTCGAGACTGGATGCCTTATCCTATGTCAATTTTAAGCTTGGCGTCAGCGAGTTCGATTGCGAAAATCTAATCCAGAGTTGTGGCCAGCTAATGTTTCTGTTCGGCCGTTCCGTTTTTTTCACAGAGGGACAAAACAAACTCATCCCAACTAGTTTATTTGTCCTCGGATGCGCCTGATCCCGTAGTATTGGATATTAATAAGTTAAGTTGTAATGCATATTTAAATGTTAATGGGCAGATATATGATTATAGCTCTTTGAAGGTTTATTTCCAGAATATTTCTAGCCTTCGAACAAAATCAGCAGCGGTACGCTCTATTAGCTCGCAAAGGGATTTCGATGTTTTTGTTATTGTTGAGTCATGGCTAAATGCGGATTTCTATGATGAGGAATTTTTTGATTCAAACATTTATAATGTCTTTAGGAAGGACAGAGATGTAACTAAGACTGGTTGTCTGAAAGGCGGCGGAGTTCTTATTGCTATTCAGCGTAAATTTCATTCGATCTCTGTCTCGCTTGAAAATGATGATTCCCTTTTGGATCAGCTTTGTGTTCGCATCAGTGCCTCATCTAGTTATGACTCTCTGTTTTTGATTGTTTCTTATACCCCGCCTAATAGTAATTATAATCTTTATAAAGCGCATGCTGACAACATAATAATAATAATAGATTGGCGCTTACACATATGTTAGTGTTTGGCCGAGCTTCTCCTCCGATTTGTGGCGTGCGCCTTAATGTTGTCACACAAAGCGGAGGGACCTACAGTTTTACGCCGACTCCGAACGGCGATTGTATTTTTATGAGAAGCTGTTTTTCATGGCAGAAATACACTCGGAGGTTTGCCATTGCCTGCCGAGGGACGACCGCTGTTAAGAAAAAACCTTTTTTCTATATTTTTGCGATGTTGCTTGGACCAGAGTTTAAACCCTCGTGCTGCGGAGTGGAAGCGCGCACTGCTTACCCCTACACCCCAGCGGCCGACATGCTAATTTATCCGATTCCTTTTAATAGGTGCGACAAGTCTAGAGAAAATAATCTAATTGCCGTAAGTAACTTCGAAAGCATTTTAAATANATGTAGCTAAATGCTTCGCTACTTTCAAATCTGTAATTTCTGATTTTTGTTTTAAATTCATTCCAATAATTAGAAAAAGACGCTATAAATTACCGTGGTATAATCGTGACTTGAAAAAACTTAAGAATCTTAGAAACAAATTTTATAATAAGTTTAAGGCCTCTGGAAGTCAGTTTTTCTTTGAAAAATATCAGGTCCATCTTAAAAAGTTTAACTGCTTGAATAAATTCCTCTACAGAAATTATATCTTAGGCATTGAATCCAATATCAAAGAAGATCCGAAATCGTTCTGGCATTTTATTAAGTCTAAGAAGAACAACTCTAGTATTCCCTCAGCTGTATTTTTTGAAGATAAATGTGCCTCCACTCCAGCTGACGTTGCAAATCTATTTGCTGCATTTTTTAGTGCTAATGTCGCTACTGTGGATTCTAGTTTCTCTGCTAGTGTGAATTCTACTAGTTTTGGCTCCCTTAAACTTTCGTAAGATATTGATGGGCTCTCTTCAAACTTTATGAAGTGTCCTGCTTTGATCTCTCCTTCAAAAATTATTTTCAATAGGTCTCTAGCCTCCGGTATTTTTTATGATGAATTGAAATTGACTTCAATTACCCCTATTCTTAAAAGTGGCAGCAAAAGTGATGTCTGTAATTACAGACCCATTTCGAAACTTTCAACAATTTCCAAACTTTTTGAAGTTATCGTCAAGGAGAAAATGTATTTCGCGACAAAAAGTCTAGTCTCACCCAATCAACATGGTTTCGTCCCCAACCGATCTACGGTAACTAATC